AAGCAGGCCTCAGCCAACTAGACAAAGTAATTTCACACTGCAGCTCTTCAACACTTACTGTATCCCATAGCCAAATGTAGAGGCTATTCTTCTCCTTAATGTTTAGTATTCAGTTTTTTAACTGCTTAAAACTAATTTTGTTTAACAATAGCATTGCTCTTTATATTTTTTTTTTATTATTGTTGTTGTTATAATTTTTAACATCAGAGTTCTGTAGCTTTGCTAGATATGTTAAAATAGCTTCTTTTTACTTTTAGTTCTTTTATGAAAATTTTGTCAAATTATGTTTATTCACAAATTATGTGTTCTTTGGTTGTGGTGTATATGCTAGTTTTTTAAATTTAAAATCTCAAAGTTCAAATTTCCAATTACCAAGCATAAATTTCATATCAATGCTTTTTTACATTTTCCCTTCAAGACACAGTTTTCTTCCTAAATCATTTTTCTTTTTCTAATCTCACGAAGCACCTAGTGCACAATGCACAATAGTCTTTATAACAAAAATTTTTATTTACTTATGACTATCGTTCAATTTAGCACATCTGATCCGATATCTGGCCTTTGGCTGTAATACGCTCATAGTGGTTTCTTCCTTCCACGGGATGGTATTATCCTGTTCGTTTTCCTACAGGACAGCTTAATCAGGAGCCGTCTCGTCGGGTAGAGCTGCTATTACAGAGTACACAATATGGAGATCGGGCACAATCTTGTGGCAAAACGCAGCAACTCAACGCAACTTGAGCTTGGGGTGCGAATTGGGGCATTATGCAAATAGTATATAAAACGTCACAGATGTTCATCTGAGACAGATATAAAATAGACGTCTCCTCGGGCTTGTATGTCGCAACGAATCTAGCGTTGCTGGGCGATGAGCGAATTCCAGGCTGCTCACCTTCTACTTAGGTAATTTTTTTTTTTTTTTTTTGGCTTTTCTCCTTAATCAAATGGCCAGTCATCCACCAGATAGGGGCAAAATTCCTTGGCATTCTGCAACCAGCGATTACATGGATAGTGATAGTGAATCAGTTATTTCTGTTAAATCTGATAAAGCCACAATCGGCGGCATAGATCTTGGAAGAGGCAAGCATTTTTCTACAATCCCTAGGCTATAGGCAAAACAGCACTGCTCCTCCAAAAGCTAAAAAGATGAAAACGCCAACTGCTCATGAAATCGTCGATAAATATAAAAATGTTTTTGCAACCTTTCAAAAAGGTATTACTAACGAATTACTTTTTTTTTTTTTACTTTTACACTGCTAAGGAGGACTACTGACCGGGAACAAGCCCTTGCAGTATAATGTCCTCCCTGCAGACATTTATTAAGTCTAAATTAGGAAGGGAAAAAAAAACGATTCCAGAGTCACATCTAGATAGTGAATTCAAAGGACTACCTTGAATACATATGACATTCCTGATAGCATAGATTAAAAAAAAATACTTAGAAGTACAAAGCTGCATTGATACAAAACTGGTAAAGGTAAAACAAAAACAGTAAAATTTAAGACTAACATTGGAATTTCAAGCCTGCAATTATACATCACACTGACTTACTATTATACACTTACTATAATTCCACACATTACTTTAGAAAAAAAATATGCTATATATTACTATAATACTAAACAACACACCAACATAGTAAAACTGATACTACAAATAAACACACCATATACTCTGCTCGTATCAGAAAAGTACACACTGACATAATAAAGCTGATACTACAAATAAAACACAACATATACACTGCTCGTATCAGAAAAGTAGACAATTCTGTACATGATGCTGTACTGTAATGCTAAAACTAATCAAAAGAACACTAGACAATAACCTTTGGAAACAGTCACAGTGAAATTAGGAATATAATATATTGTAGCAGAGTTAGAATACGAATCATTTCAAAACATTAAATCCAGCAAAATATTTCAATACATATTTACAAATTTCTACAACCAAGAAAGTCTGGTTCAATAATACTATTGTACATCACACTTACTTATCATTATACGACCCTAAACTACTATACTCCACATTAATAGAAAAAAATTATACTAGATACTTAATGGAATACTGTACATACACTGAAATAAAATGGCGAATACTACAAAATAACAATCAATATACAATGTGCTTATCAGAAAGTTGGTTCTGCGGCCACGAATATGTGTTAGAAACTGTTGCATTTTGCACAATACTAGAAACTGTTACAAAACATTTGCACAGAATATTTCATGGTACTAGCCGAGAGCTCTCTCTATATATTTACTATTATACCGCAAACTTCATTTGAAAACATAACACAACGCACATACTACTTAACAGGTCAATACACTAAGACAATATGTAAATTGAAATACACAGAATACAATACAAAAATTAAGTAAACACAATAAAATTTAAAGATTAATAATGAATAGAAGCGACACTGAAGTACCAAATAGACAGACATTGATTGTGGTAATCTACATCTAGGAGGTAACATGTTCCAGCAAAGTTTTCAAGTACTGCACTAAACATGGCTGTCATGCATATACGTAACATAAATACAATGGCATGCCATTAGTCTCTGAAATTGTCCTCATTTCAGTAGTTGAATATTATCGTATATAATAAGATACGAATTTGTAAGGTAAGAATTATGAAAGCTACTGATCTTCTATAGTTGTTGGTATAGAATTGCCTGCTGTAGACACCGCTTCTGTTCAACAGATTTCACAAGCGCAAATGTCCATTACTCGATGAATTTGATTAAATGCGAGCTTACTTTCCTTGAGGGTGTCTGACCACCCGGACCAGTGTGCTTCAGAGGGTTTTTTAAACGAAATGGTATCGTGAGAGAGCATTCGAAAGCAAAGTCATCCGGATCACCTAGTGTTCCACATCTACAACTGTCTGAAGTAGCTAATCTGAAGCGCCGTAAATAGCTTGGAAATGGTCCGTGTCCAGTAAAGAAATGTGTAAGATGAGCACTACTAGTGACCAGATTCAGACCAACTTTGGGGAAGAAACGAAAGGTTCTGCGGCCTGTGGTGGAGTTGTTCCATCTCTGTTGCCAAATTTCTAACATTTTGAGTTCGGTAATCTTTTTTAAATAGGAAACTGGTGCTTTTAGGGTGTTACAGGCATATTCAAGTCGTTAGCTGCTAGCTTAGCAAGCCTATCGGCCTCTTCGTTTCCAGCAATGCCTACATGCGCTGGAACCCAGCTCAAGTACGGTCGTTGGGACTCGGGAATCTGAAGTAGAGCATCCCTAATAATGTGGACAGAATCCGCTTTGCTGTTGAGTTCTTTAATGGCCAGTAGGCTCGATGCTGAATCACTCAGTATTCTGACTGGTCCTGTTAGATTTTGCTTAATATAATCTAATGCTGCCTTAATTGCTACAAAGTTCCGCCTGAAATACACTATTGTAATCTGACAGCCTCTGTGACCAAGTGTAGCAGATAGTATTGCCTCGCATGACGCAGAAGCCGCTACCTGTGCCAAGCTCCGTTTTGGAATCATCCGTATAAAGACAAATTTCGTGCCTAGCCGGAATTAAGGGCTCTATGGTGACTTTGTCAACATAATTTATGTCCGCCGGATGTCCTAGAGAACGAGGAGAATGATCCTCGTAATCACGAGCGCGGTAATGGGTACCCCACAAGATAAAATCTTCCTTTATGCGTAGGATCCGTGCTTGTCCAGCCTCCCTCTCCACGACAAGATCCAATGGTGGTAACCCAGCGAGCACCTGCAATGAATCTGTCGAAGTGGTCCTATAAGCTTTAGTAATCATGAGGAGTTGGAGACGCTGAATAGAATTGAGTTTCCTCCTCAGGTTTCCATTGAGATGAATACCCCATGCTGAAGACCCGTACAAAATCACCCTCGCTGTTATTGTGCGATACCAGATCTTCAACATGTCTGGTCTAATGCCCCAATACATGCCAGTAGTTCGTCTCATGTTATTGGTAAGAGATACTACTTTCTGGTGTATATGATGCAAATGTGGAATCCAGTTGAGGCGATTGTCTATGATGACACCTAGATATTTCAACTGGGAAACAGTCCTAACTGGATGACCTAATAATCTTATAGTTGGATTCCGCCTCAGTGGACCTTTACGCCCTATGAGTAAAATGTTAGTTTCGGACGCTGAAATTTCCAATTTGTGATTAGCTGCCCATTGTGCAAAGAGGTTCAGTGCTCGCTGTACATTCTCCTGCAGTCTGTGTCTTCCAGTGACCAAAAGCAGAAAGTCGTCGGCAAATGCCTGGACTTTGACAGTCTCATCACCATTGTAAAGATCAAATATCGTGTTGGCAACCAGGTTCCATAAGACTGGGTCCAGGCATGAACCCTGGGGACAGCCACGCACCAGTCGTCGTTGAAGTTGGCCATTTGGCATTGTTATCTGTATTTGCCGATCAGACAAATAGCTGCGAAGAATCCTGAGGATTTCAATCGGGCACTGAATTCGGTCTAGACATTTGATCACATCTGGCCACCAGAGTGAATCGAATGCCCCTTGGATGTCGACTGACACGACTGCTGTGTGCAGATCGTTATTTCGGTTATCCTTGATTGTGTCCAACAGACTGGTCAGAGCATGCTCTGTTGAAGTACCCTGTTTAAAACCAAACTGAGCTTGGTGTATTATATTTCTTTTGCTTAAGAAATGATTGAGTCTGCTCAGTATTACTCGTTCAACTACTTTACTAATGGCTGGTAGCAGACTGACAGGCCTGTAGGATCTTGGATCATCGGGGCCCCTCCCGACCTTCAGAAAGAGAACTATCTCGGCTATTTTCATAGTTGTTGGGAAATGACCCAGTCTCCAACATGTGCCGCATAATTTAACCAAGAGCTTTGGGCATGCTTGATGCACAACCTTGATTAAGATGTTGTCAAGGCCGTCTGGGCCCGGTGCCTTGTTATTGACTAGGGCCTTGACTATTCTGTGCAATTCTTTTGGCGTTGGCAGCTTCGAGTCACTTTCAGTGGTAGTCCAATTACAGTTATCATAGTGTTCTCTGATGTCCGCCTTGTCGTGCTGAGTCTGTCTCCTGTGTGTCATTGCGAAAGATAGCTTCAAGTATGTTGCCCAAAATTTCTTCGCTAGTGGTGCCAAGTTGCGAAGCTGCTAACTGTAGTGGACGAAATACTTTCGCACAGGCTACTTTCTGTACCTTGCCATAATGCTCTATGACTCTGCTGCAATGGTTTTGCCACGCTTTCAGTTTGCTATTAATGATTAGTTTTTTGTAACTGGCGTGTTCCATTCTGTAAAGTTGCATTCTACTTTGCCTGGCAGCAGGGTCTATTTCCGCCTGCGCTCTTCTGCGTAAAGCCCTAACTCTACTCCTCTGCTCCGTAAGTTTGCCGTTCCACCAGGATAGAGAGTCAGATATTTTCAATCTCTTCCTTTTGTACGACATCCGAGCAACTGCCATTAGATCATGTATTAATTTATCGTAGATCCTGTCCAAATCGTTACCAGTTGTACAGTTGTCTAGTCCTTTGAGGTACTGGGGCAAAATCAGCCTGCACTGTTGCATGAACTTGGAATGTCCGCCATATTTCGTCTTTAAGCGATACTGTGTGTAATATATGCCAGGCAATTTCACTTCAAAGAGAATCAGCCTGTGATCACTGAACGTTAGCGTATCACTGACTCTCCAATTGCTGATAAGATGTGCTAGTGGGAATGAAGCTAAAGTGAGATCAGGCCAACCCTCCGCCCTAGTGGTAAAGAAAGTGGGAGGGGACTCCTCAGAGTTGATCACAACTAGCCGACTTTCCGAGATAAAGTCTAGAACCTTCCGGCCTCTCTCATTTTCTCCCCGTGCTCCCCAAAGAGAACTCGAGGCATTAAAATCCCCTGCTATAATGTGAAACGGATATCTGGCAAGAAAATCAGGATTCAGTTCCTGCAGAAGATCATCCATAGAACCACTGGGAGGCATATAGACGCTCGTGAGGGCTAGCGAGGAAGTGTGTAGTTCTAAAAGGATTGTAACTGTATGTCCGGTTTGTCGGATTAGAACTGGTGACAATGGACCATGATAAATCAAAACCTGCGAGTTTTAAAGTTGACAAGTAGATTTTAGCTGTGCTTGGCAGACCAGGTATGTATTCACCACTAGTATAAAACTCCTGTATAAATGAGACTGTGGCCTTAAATCTTACCAATAGATCAGCAAAATTTAATGTAGCTGCTCGCGCCCTTTGCAGATTGCATTGGGCGAATATCATACCTTGCAATTCGTTAGCAAATAGAGAAGTTAATTGTTCGCCTGAGCGCGACGCATCAGACGCTCCATATGCTGCTTGTAGATGGGACATTGCGTGTCACTTGCTGTGTGTTTTGTATCTAAATTCAATTGCTGAGAAGCGTTTGCCCTTTGACAGTTGACACAGATTGTTAGATCACCACTGCAATCTGTGTGGCGGTGGGCGCCCCCACAAGTGCTGCACACTATTTCTTCACTACAATACCTGGCTAGGTGTCCAAAGCCTTGACACTTGAAACAACGCGTAATGCGATGATATTCCTTTACAGCACAGGAACTTAGGCCAAGATAGACACTTCTGAGTGAAAGGACTTTATCTATAATGTGAACATCAAACTCTACGATCCAATTCGTGAGACCCAGTTTACTCTTGAAGGAGCGTGCTGGGTGTATACCTTCGTTTGAGTAGCGCCCGAGTGCTTCACGAAACGCTGTCGTAAGATCTTCTTTAGTTGTGTCTTCTGGAGTAGCGAACACAATAGCGGAGCGTCTTGGAACTCTTGGCTCTCGAACTTGCAGATTGCTTAATTGAGAATTCGCAGTGATGGCGCCTCTTAGTCTTGCTAGATGTGCCTTCTCCCTGCACCTTACCAAGAGTTCACGAGATCGTGTGGATCTTACCTGTACTACGTGGACACCTAGCTTAATTGGATTGATAACAGATTTTAAAAGCTCTTTAATGCTGTCTGGAGTCCTCTTATCGTCTTTGTCTTTAATTAGTAGTACGTGCTCCGAGAGAGGAATCTGAAACGGGAGCTTGTTGCTTTTTGCGGGCGCGTTTGTTAACAACCGGTCTGGAAAGCTTCTTCCACTATCTGTTCGTGGCTCACTTGTTTCTCTGTTCTGTGAACAGTGTCTTGTTAAACAGAGGGGATGGGGTGAACAGTGGCAGAAGCTGAGCAGTACGGAACACTTGTTGGAAATTTATCCTTAAAATGCCTTTAACTCACCATGAAGTTCTGCAATTTTGACCTCTTGGTGGGTCAAAACAATCCTAATATCAACCAAGTAATCTGCCAGGACAGAAATTACTGCTGAGGTAAGTTTACGTCTACCTCGGTGCTTTAATAGGTGTCTCAAAAATTGTCTATTAAGGAATTCACCTTCACAGTTGGCGTCTGTACAGAATCCTCTGAAGTCTGTGCCTCTTGGCTAATGACTGCTGGCTGATCTAATTTATACAGCAAATTGGGTGAATCGTCTCTGGTTGCCATCAGAGACTAGTACTAAATGCCAAAAGATTCGTACGCAGAAGATAAACAATGTTGTGCTTACACAGAGAATAAAGTATAATGCAATGTAAAGTCTTTAAGAAGTGTAAGTTAAAAACATAAATTCTAATGCTAATGATAACCACAAGTAGAATACGCAGAAATATTAAAGATACGCACCACTAAGTACATTAACAGTGCTATATGCTTAGTACTCGTATTACAAAAAACAATACTAAAACAAGTGAATGTAATACAGTCAACAAAAAACCATAAAAAAAAACTGAGCATATGGTGTAAAAGTCGCAATAGAAGAGTAAAACTTCTACAATTACAATCAAATACTAGTGCGCTATAATAAGGAAATTACACAATTATGGTAAATAAAATAAAAGTCAATTGCAATTACGAATGCAAGTAAAACTACACTAACAAGTTTTAGTGCCAAGATAGTGCTGACACATGAATTTTTGCAATTAGCAAAAAGACATAAAACTTTTGCTGAAATAATAAAAACACTTAGGTAGAGAAAACTGTGGAATAAGATATTGCTTGAATTGTAATTACACACAAGAATACACAATGCTGTTACTGAATTAACACAAGAAACAAGGCTATTTCTGAAATAGCACGTATTGTAGATAAAATAAATCACTTTTGACATAATAAATTATTAACATAATTTTATAACATAATAAAATTACTAACATAATTTCTAACATAATAAAATTCTACATAATTTTAACATACATAAATTACTAGCTACAAATACTTAACTACATAAGAAATTAATTTTGACATAATAAAGTTACTAACTTAAAAATTATATGCTGACAGAAAATACTGCGTTACCAAGCAAAAGCTCTCTACTACAATTACAATCAATTCTCCCACCAGCGGCCCCGGAATAGTTGAACTCGGTCCGAGGTCGATCCCGCGATGGCTGCTGGGGTTTTCGTGGTTTTCCCCTGTGTAACGTGTATAGAGCCAGTTCCTTAGAAAGTCGCCACCTAAAGCTCCCTCCTTAGGCAATAGCCTCGTGTGCTTTGCCTATTAAATACACCCACCAGGAAACTCAATTCTAGTGCGCCAATTACACAATTATGGTAAATTAAATAAATTAGTTGCAATTACGAATGCAAAATAAAACTACATTAACAAGTTTAGTGCAAGATAGTCTGACCATGAGTGCATACGCTTTAGTTCATAGATTCCAGTGAGATTAACCGAAAACTATTCTGAGCGCTGTATTGTTAATGCGTACTTATAACCAATAATATTTCAGGAGTTAACCAACTAGTTAATTCGGAAGTATCCTCCCTTGGCAGCCAGGTTTTATATGGTTCATCTGTTGCCTTTAGTATCCAATAGGTTGAATTCCCAAGCACAAGCACGTATCCACACTTTGCAAAAGCAAAACACCACTATCAAATTGAACACTTTCATTAACTGAAAAAGGAACTTGACACTATTAAAATTACCATTCAATGCTGTGATTATCGCCACATTGCCGCTGATTAATTGGTACTTGAATAACTATCGCATACTGCTACTAGTGGTTAAATAGCACACCACTAAGTAACTAAATGACCCTGTTGTCACTGTTGGATTATCCCACACACTGTTGAGGGATGCCAAATGTGCAGATCACTAATGCGTAATCGCCTCGACGACTAAGTCCAAAAAAAAAAAAAAAATCCGACAAATGTTGTAGAAAATGAACCACTCGTCCGATTCCTTTCAAATTTTGAGAGATGCTTGGTAAAACAAAAGCACAGTTCCCTTTGAACCGCGCTTTAAATGAGAGAGTCGATTTGAGGGGAAATACAATAGCGCTCTCCTGGGGTTTGCAGGGGGGAATACTGCTTACGGTCAAGTCGTAAACTAAGTGTTCGACGGTGCAAGTTGAAACGAAACAATGCAGGGCTTCGTGTTGGGAGGTCGAAATTGCTTGAGCACAAACGGAATAACCAATCGTGATATGAAATCACTAATTCATCCGTATCTCGCCGATTGATGGACCTACATCCGAGAAGACTATATCATTTAAAAGATCTCTTAATGACGAAACTTTTGATATCAAATCCCTACTAAAACGTGCAAATCGCCGAAAACTTCTACGCCTAAAGAAATTCCGCAAAGTAATAAATTCGAAATCTTAAACCAAACAAATCACGCAGAGACTGAGCAAATGACGTAAATGAAAATTGTAGAATTGAGAAGACCCAATTGCTCTTACATGCCAAAATGCTGATTGGCTTACAATTGATAAAATTTTGCCGGAAACATGTAAAAATCAGTAGGAATCCACGATGAAAGCCCGAAAATTTTTCTCCAAACCTCTACACTAGAAGATTGCAAAACAGTTATCCAAATTTTCAAGAAAATAGAACTTAACTTCCATACCTTACCTATCGATCCAGAAGCTACTATCAAGGTTATCCTAAAAGATCTCCCTAGTTCAATTACTGAGCAAGCCATCTTTCAAGACCTCAAAAATAGAAAATTTCCGATTCTCAGAGTAAAACAGTTTACTAGAAAACAAGAAAATCAAATTATCAAACTACCTATTTATATCCTAGAATTAAAAAGGAATGCATCAGGCGAAGCCATCCATAAGCTTAATAACATGATCAGTTTCAACATTAAAATAGGAAAATACACTCCCAGAAAGGGCTCAATCCAATGCTACAACTGTGAAGAGTACGGACTTTCCCAGAGTAATTGCTACAGTAAGGTCAGGTGTTGTAAGTGCGGGAAAAATCACCGATCAAATACTTGTCAGCTCAAACCAGATGAGAAACCGAAATGCATTTTCTGCTCTAAGGATCATGTAAGCTCATATCGAGGATGTAGGGTTTATCAGTTAAGATTCAAGAAAATAGAACGTTTAGCTCCCAGACCTACCCCTCAAAAATACTGATGAATTCCCAGCTTTGGGCAAGTCCCAGCAAAGAAATTCGCAGAAACGAAGCAGACTTACAGCGATAAATTAAACTCTAACTTTCCGCAAGCTGAGGAAATCACAGACATTTTATCAGTTTTTAAAGAACCTACAGTTTTTAATCTCCTTAACAATATTACCTCAATAGCGCAAAAGATCAAAAACACCAAGACTATTGCAAATAAAATGATACTAGACTTCCAAAAAGTCGAACTCCTCCTGAAATTTGCAAAAGAAGATTCATTTCCCGAATTCATACGAAGTCACCTTAGCCGATCGGACTTAATCAAGACCTTGTGGATCTGACTCTCGTGGGTTGGGGCTTGGTCCGGCTCACTCTCCGCCATTTTTGGTCGAAGCCAACAATGGACACTATGATGCACTGGCTTTTTTCGCCAGTTTAATTCACTTTTCTTACGTATTTTTCACTCTAGGAATCCGATATAGAGTGTTAAAGACCTTCGGGTCGTACACCACTTACAAAGCGACGACCTAAGACCTAAGGGTTGTATGTTGAA